GCTCCCTGAGGCCAGGGCCCGGGCCTATCCCAGCCCAGCACAGAGCTAGGCACACAGGAGGTCTTAGAAAATGTTTGGGAAACTTGGTGCCCTACACAGGACACAGGGGGCCCTGCCTCACAGCCGCCGTGCATGCTGTTCCCTCCGCCTGGAGAGCCCTTCCCGCCCTTCACCCGTCCTTTCTGGCCCCTGTCACACATCATTTAGGCCAGACAGCCCACAGGCCAGATCGGGCCTGCCCCTGTTTTTGTAAATAAAGTTTTATTGGAATACGGGCTTCATTTAGGTCTTCATTTATGAGTTACCAGTGGCTTCCGTCACACTGCAGTGGCAGAAGCGAGTGGTAGTGACAGAGTGTCTGGCCCACGGAGCTGAAGCTATTTACAGAAACTGTTCGCTGGCCCTTAGTTTAGGTTTCAGATCAAACACTGCTCTTCTCTGTGAAACCGGCCCTGGGGCTCCCCCTCTGGGCTTTGGCTTTGACACTGCCCGTAGGGGCCCCGACCAAAGCACCCGCCAGCCTTACATGCCAATAGTTTGTTTTCCTTCCAGATAAGGAACTCAGTGAGGACAGAAACCATGTCTGACTTGGGCCCCAGACTTTGCTCAGCACAGGGCTGGGTGTACAAGGACGCCTGTTTGCTGAGTGAGTAGATAAAATGCACATGACTCTCCTCTTGGCGAACTCCTACCCACCCCTCAAAACCTACTGTGAAAATCCCCTCCTCGAGGAAGCCATTGTTGACGTCACCAGACAGAGTCCCCACTCCTCCCGGGGCTTTCCTAGCCCCTGGCCTGGCTGTGTCCTGTCCCAGTGGACCTCCGGTGGTCGGCCCCCTCCCCCCCATCTGTAGCTAAGTGGCCCCCACTCCCACCCACGTGCCCCAAGGCGGCCCGGCCCCCTACCTTGCCCGCGTAGTGCAAGACGCTGAAGTCAGCCTGGTCCCGCAGCTGCCGCGGCCGCTGGAACTTGGGGTGGCCGCCCTGCTCCTGCGCCACCTTCTCCACGAAGGACTTGTCCGTGGCCTTGGGGAACCAGCACTCCTCATCCAGCAGGGGAGGAGGGGGAGCGTGAGAAGGGACTGGGGCCTAGAGGGAGGGGGGCGGGGACCCAGAGGGAGGGGACGGGAACCCAGAGAGAGGGGACGGGGGCCCAGGCGGGTTGGCCTGACCATTGACAGGAAGGGAGAGCGAGTCAGGTCCCCAGATACTGGGCACTTAGGCGGTGGCTGGTTTTTAGTTCTTATAACTGACACGTGGATGTCGGACGGAACGTGGGGACAACAGTTACAGTGACAGCCATGATGAGCCCGTGGTTGGAGCTGGGCCCTGTGGCAGCACATCCCAGGGTCACACAGATCTGGGTTGTTTTCTCCATTTAACTGATGGGGAGGCCCGAGGCGGGGGGGCTCGGGGGGGAGGGCCTGGACCTGGGCCACAGGAGGGCGGGGAG